ACAAATCCAGTATGACTCGTGGGCCCCAAGGCGAGATCACCAGTGACTCTGAGGAGACTCTGAAGGCGCAGACAGAAGTGCCAGACACGGACCGTCCAGATGCCTTTCAGGGCCCGGGACTCGGCACAGTGCAGACCTCCTGCCACGGTCCCACCCTGACCTGCTCGGCCCCTCCCCCTGCCATGGCACTGTGCCCTGCCCAGGCCACAGAGCTTCTCCCTCTGCGCTGGCAGCTCCCGCCACCTCTGGGGGAAGTGCTGCACCCCTGTGTGGCCTTTGGTGGTAGTAAACCTCGTTAGTTGTTTTTTTCCAACTCTGTGTAACCACAGTATGTATAAGACATGGATTCTGCAAGTAATCAGATGTGATTATGGGTAATGAGGGGCATTAAACTGATCATTTTCACTTTTTTCATATATTTAGCTCATCAGACATCAACTGACATTGTACTGATCTGTCTTTTGCCTTGAGTTTTGTACTTTTGGTTGTTTTTAATGAAAACATCTTTGTTCTGAGATATTTATGGTCAAACTTATCTCTCATCATTTTACTCTTAGTCACTTATTTCCTAGATTTTAAAAATCTTCTTAGAGGCTGAGTTAAGATTTATGCTTTTACGACCTAGTTCCCCCTTCTCCTTTTCTTCCCCCGCACCTCAGAATGGAGGACTGAACCCGACAGTCTTCACACTGAGAGACATTCCTAGCTCTTCTTTTATTTTTTATTTTGAGACAAGATCTCACTAAAGTGCCCACAGGCTTGACCACAGGGTCCTCCTGCCTCAGCCTCCCAGAGACCTGGACCACCACACCTGACCTCCTTTCCTTTTTAAACTAACTCTGACACTTTTCTTTTAACAACACACTTTTTTCTGTTTGATGTCACTCTTCCCGTGTTTTCAGTTCATCATTGGCCACTGCACATTTTCTGAGCTCTACAGGATCTTCTCCTGTTGCAGAAAGGTAGGGGGCTCCACTGTGGAGGAGAGGCCTGTTCTTATTTGTCACTGAGACACAGAAAAGCATGGTAATCACAGTGCAGAATAAAGAGGCAGACAGAGTCCCTCAGTGGGAGTCACGTTGGACAGAAGGCCGACGCAGTGCGACAGAACCAGAGTAGTGCATGGTGCTGCCATGGACCACACTGCAAATGCTGCGGGTAGCGTGAGGAAGGCTTATTGCTCATGCTGGGCAGAGAAGACAAGCAGACCTTCTAGACCATGCTCAGCTCCAGCAAAATTCAACACTCTCTAATCTGCTTGCCTCCTTTTCTAGCAAAGAAAGCTCCTTCCAGAGACCTCTGGCCTCCTGAGAACCTCCTGTGTGCCCCTGTCTGACTGTGTTATGCTGCACATGCTCCTCTCATAGAAAGGATAAAATCCACTTTTGAAAATAGTCATAACACTGTAAGCGCAGACCTCACTGGGTTAATCAGTATATAGCCTTCACAGTGCATTGTTCCAGACACGAGCAATTCTGTCATCTTTTTAGCATCAAGATGGACTTGTGATTCTCTAATATAATCTTTGTTTCTTCTAACATCTGGAATTCACAGACTAATTCTGGTGCTTTTCCCTGCCCTGAGATATGGAACCAACCATCCTCCCAAGGGCACTGCTTACTCTAGAACCGCTTTAGAAATCACAGGAGGTAAGTCTACAGATATTTATCCTACAATCGGACTGAAACTCAGCAGGACGACAGAAGATATATCCATGAGCCCAAATCACTGTAGGATCAGAACAGGAAAAGCTGCCTTTAAAAAGTACCCATAGGTTCTTATTGACACTTTCGATTCACCTCTGTGTTAGCAAATTCTTTTGCCTTCCTCTAATTAAAAATATTAACCCTTTCTTCAACTTTTGAACAACTAGTTTTCTTCTTTTCATTAATGTTAATAACCATAAAAAACTATGTCACATGTCTAAATTTCAGTATTTCCTCCCAAAAATTGAAGAGACTTCACTTCTTCCCTTCTTTCCTGACTATTAGCTCAGCCATCCTAAAAATGGCTCCACAGTGTGGGGCCCATGATTCTTTGGTCAGCATCACCATACCACCAATATTTGAAAAGAAAGCAGTTCCAGCCTCCATCAAGGGGAATCCCAAAGGAACTGAGTGTATGATAATTAGATCCCTGTTTACTTAAAAAGTAATTTTAAAGCCAGGCATGCTGGTGCATGCCTGTAATCCCAGCACTTGGGAGGCTAAGGCAGGAGGATCGCTACCAATTCGAGGCCAGCTTGGGCTCCATAGTGAGTTCAAGGCCAGCCTGAACTGCATAGTGATACCTGGTCTCAACACTACCACCACCATCACCACCCTCCAAAGTAATTTTTTAAATGCAGTGTTTCAAAAATAATCCTTTATCAATGTTCTCCATTTGTGCTCCCCAGCTTGAATTTATTTTATATTTTCTTTTCCTAGGGCCGTTGGACATTTATAGAGTGCAATTTTAGTGGTAAACTATCCTTTCAAAGCAGCCCTTGGGTGCACAGCTGGTTCCTTTGCACAGGCCTGTGGTAGTTAACAGGTGTTCACATCTCTTCCAGACCTGTGCTCAGGAAGATCACATTCACAGCTTGGAATGAGCACAGAGGAAATATTTACACCATGGAAATCAGCAAGCCCTATAACTCAGGACTTTCTACCTAGGGACCTCAAGGTTAAGCATTTAACAAGATGACTCTGGGTGCACAATTCAGTTTTCCCACAACCGTTAAACATGTCAAACATGAAATGGTTGTTGACGTCCAGAGCACTGCCACATGCCAAGTGCTACAGTTGCGGATCCCCACTTGGGAACTTACATAGACCAGTTAGCTCTTATAGCTTCAGGTAGCTTCTACAGTATTTACTGGGTAAGGGTCCCAGGGACCAATCTTTAAAAGACAAAAATATAATTGGATTACAGTTGATTTTAGCTATTGTGTCCAAGGTACATTATATTTAGCTATCCGCCAGATTCAAGTAACTTCCAGAGATGTTTGATCCATCTCCTAAAGGTTTTATTTCCATAACAGACAAACAGAGAATTCATTAATTTCTGGTTATTGACATTACTGGGCTAACAGCCAACTTTCGTATGAGTTAATACACACCATGCTTTCCCTCAACCATTCTGTGATGATCTTGAATCTTCCGAGCCCTGCAAGCTCTGAGTACATGGGCTGGCTTGGCCAAAACCAACGAGGCTGAAGGGACAACAAATTTCCTGCCTGGTCTGGATGGGGATGGGCCAGGAATTTGTCTCCCTTACCAGGGTTCTGCTGTGTCTTTCCACCCTGTCCCCACCCTGCCGCTGGTGTTCTTTGGGTTGGTATGGCCTCAAATATCTCCCACTGGAAACTGTTCACACTAGGGCTTGTCATTTGTTGTTCACGTAGCACCTGAGTTTAGGCGAGAGGAACATTTCTAGCTGAAGGTTTTGTCAAATTCCCCTGACTTCATTGGCACTTCCACATAGCTATGGTGTGCCCATGTGACTTCTGGCCTCACCCTCCAGCTGCCGTGGACAGTACTGGGCCTGACTCCTCTTTCTGGGTGCATGGCATTCTGGGTCTACTGTTCTTCCCGATTTCTGAAATCTCTTCTCATCCCAGCCCCACTCCTTGAACACGACTCCCTCTGACCTGGCCCCTGAGTCTGCACATGCTTTATGCCTGGCCAGGTCTGGCTGTGCTCACTCAAGGACAGAGCAGTGGCCTTTTGAAGCTCTGGGCATTGTCTGAACTTGGGCCACACCAGCTCGCAGCACCAGACTGCTCCTAATGGTCTCCTCTGTCCTATTCCTGAGTTTCCTCTACCCTAGTACTGTTCATTTCACATCCTTCCACATTCTACAACATTCTGCTGTCTTCCTCTGGGTCCTCCTACCTGTTACTAAGGGACAGTTTGGGGTAGAGTAATGTTCCAATTCCTTCCCTGTCCCCCATGTCAGAAACCACATCAAGCCAGCCATGAGCCTAGGTCCAAAATAGATTTAAAACACTTTTGTAATGTAACATTGAAGACACCCCAGGCTTTTCACCAGTTTTCAATTTATTTCTCTAAATATGTTTTTGGCTAATATTGTTAACCATTTCTATGTAGCTTTTTTTTTTTTTTTCAATACCAGGGATGGAACCCAGGACCTCGGTTTGAGAGGCAGGCACTGAGCTAAATCCCTGGCCCTCTATGTAGCTTTTAGTTTGGGTTATTTCTTCAAACCAGGAATTATTTGCATAATCTTCTTTTTATTTCCAAGATGATACATTTTTATATTCTTTTACTGTGTCATCATTTTTATTCTATTATAATATAGAGAAAGTGTGAGGCCTTATGTATTTTGTTTACTGGGCAATATGCAATATTGCTTTGTGGGTTGGTGAAATTTATGTATCATTTGCACTTTCCAGTCACTGTTTTCTATTTATATTCCTAGTTTTTTTCCAAATTTATCTATTTAATATAGGTACGTATAATCCACTGATTTCAACTGCTGTTCGGGATTTTGTGACTTTACCATAACTGATCCACTTATTCTTCTGTTGGTAGACATTCTGGTTAATTCTCTCTCTCCTCCTCTTCCAATTTCAATAATGATTCATGGATCAAATTTATGTATATTTCCTTTCCCTATATATTTTCTCTAGGCTGATTTCTAAAATCCTAATTGCTTGAATATAGGTCATACAATATTCTGCCTTGCTAGTGTCCCCAGACTGCACCCCAAAGATGTTGCAATAGTTTATAACTTCTCATCAATAGCTTATGAGAATTTTCCTCACATTCTTGCCAACACTTGATAATTGTTTTTATTTTTGCCATTTTGATGGTTGTGCAACATTAACTTTTTTGTGTCCCTGAAGAAAGGCATAAATCTGCAGATTGAAGAAATTTGAGTCCTAAACAGTATAAATAGAGATAAAACCATACTTAGTGGCATAATAGAGAAATTTCAGAATACCAATGACAAAGAGAAAAAACTGTTTTAAAAAAGGGAAAATACAATTTACTTACAATGGAAGTACAGTATATTGATGGCAGATTTCTCAAAAGGCAGTGATGGAGGAAAATGGTGGAATCTTCAAAGTGCTGAAGGGGAAAAACACTGTCAAACTAGAGTTGCATATGCAGTTATTCAGCTCCCAGTTATGCCCCCAGTGGTTGTACCTGTGCATTCCCAATTGGCCTCCCTGCCTTCTTCAAAAATAGGTAGTGCACTTTGGCCAGGGCATGAGTAGGTATCCAAAATAAGCAAATCCTAGAACTTCAAGCCCCTTGGCCATGCAGTCAATCCACAGAGCACACATATCAACAAAGAGAAAAGCTCAAGACATGCTATCCTTGAGACCAGCTCAACCTCAATGTCTCCATGCCCTGGACAAGAATCTTTTGTTTCTGTCTTTTGTATTTGAAAGTCCTGACAGGAAGCTTTTCCAGAGATAAAAACAAATGAGGACAAGGCCAAACAGGGCAAGAGAAAACAAGAGAGAGACACAGAAGTGCAATTTAAGGATTCCATTCAGAGCTCTTTTATTTTTCTTTCAAATTATGGAAGTTGTAGGAATGTACTGGAGGGTGTAGTTCAACCACTGTGAAGAAAGAGAGACAGAAGCAACCACAAAAAGCAACAGATAAAAGCATTGCCCATCATGAGTAAACTTTGACAGACTCCACCTACTAACAATCTTCCAAGTCAGAAAGTAAAGCAGCTCATATTCTCTCTGCACACTTTTGCCAAAAGCACAGAAAACGTGTATCAAAGTGTCTTTGTGTTGCACACCTATGTTCTCTTTATTCAAACTAAAGACAGTGGAGTCCCTTACAATCACAGAGTTCAGCCCTGGGAAAGCCCTTTAGTCCAATCCCTTTGGTATATTGATTGGCGAATCAAAGATGATGTTGCCAGTCAGGGATAGATCAGGGGACAGGCCTGGATCTCCCTCCCCGAGCCACCTTCACTTCCCTGCCATGCCCTGTCTGCATTCACAGGAAGGAAATTTTGGAGAGGCTTTGCTCACATACCTAGTATAACATTCTGCCAGTAGTGGTGGGCACTTTCTAGTTGCTCAGCTATCTACGGTGCCCTTCTAACCTCTCCTCTGCCCTCTCCGTATCTCCTCTCCTAGGAAGTTCTTGGATTTGATACCAAAGCCCTGTCTTTGTTGCGGAAGGCCCCTCTTGCCGGACACCAGAGGAGCCAGCCATTCCTCACATCACTGTCAAACTCAGACGGAGTAAGGGAAGGTGGCTTGGAGCAGACAGGACATTGCTGTGTGAAATCAAATGTGGCCTGGAAATCTGGATGGGCTCTGCACCTAACCTCACACCTACTTGAGTTCACACTCTGACATATTCCAAAACACAAAGGAAAATCCAACTCCCCAAACTGAAGCTTTCAAAAGACAGTGCGGCAGAACAAAAATCTCAATCTAGTGGTAAAACTTGACTAGATTTTCCATTAAGCTTTCTCTGGTCTCTTCCCAAACCTTTACCTTCACATCTCTTATGCTTTGGCAGTCTTTCCCTCCTACCTGTCTGACCTAATTCCAAAATCCCCTGCCTTTATCCAGAGCTCTCTGACTCCACTGCAAAACTGCAATGCCTCTTGGAAAGGAGGAGGTCCTTGTCATGGCAAACATTGCTCAAGTCTGCTCGCCTCGGGGAGCTGTTCGTTCGGCTCCAGTTAATTCACAGCGTGCGTGGCTCTCTGTCCAGAGCATGATGAACACTCCTTTGCTCAGCATCAGACGGCTCCAGGACATCTCCATATCAGTAAATACATGGGCAGCAGCGATGCAGACACAGGTGGGCAGGCCCCTGCCAGCCAGCAGCCACACTGCAGTCCTGCAAGCGAATCTTTCCATCTCGACGTGCTAAACCTTCAGACTCCAGCTCTACCTCCTCTGACCTTCACAGTAAATTTGTGGGGAAGGCAAAGCAGAAATCACCATTTCACACACACACACACACACACACACACACACACACACACATGCGCGCACACCAGGGAAACGAGGCACAGATGCAGTAAAGTCATGGAAAGCCACAGCCTAGCTTTGTCCTCACAGTTACATAAATCCATGTCCCTCCTAATAACCAGTGTTCTTTTCCATTCTCCTGAAAACGTCTTTGAGTCATTGCTTTTAAAATGCCAATAGTTGGAAAACTGATTAATTTAATATTTGCTCTCAGGTTGAAGGTATTAAAATTAATAAACTAGCCAAGATTTAGTCAGCAAGAAAAAAATATCCAAAAAATCAAATATATGTTTTGAAATCAGATAATTTTAATCAAGATTTTTATTAAATCCAATTATATTGACGCTAATATAGTCCAATAAAATATTATTTTATAAACAGTAATTATGGATAAGGCTTAAATAGACATATTCATAGATATGTTGCTCAGGGCAAAGGGAAAATGATTTGTAATGTCCAAAAACTTTAGTGCAAGCCAAGCATGGCCAGGTATAAGGTTCCACATGTCTGAAAGTTTAGTCAGTCTGGGAGGCTGAGGCAGAAGGATTGCAAGTCTGAACCCATCTGTCTAAAGAATAATAATAAATAAAAATTGTAAAATAGTTAAATAGATTATTACGTGAAAACCAGTTTCACCCTCATGAGACAAAGTACCTCGACCGTGAGAATTAATTGTGGCACAGAGGCAAGGACCATGCATCCTATCATCTCCTTCGATTCTCTGGTTGATGAAGGGAGAGGCTGCAGTTCACCCCACATCCATCCGCCATTGAGGAAGGACTCTAACATTTCTGCTGCTCTGTGCAAATGACATTAGTTCACAGCCTCAGACTGGCCTGGCTACTGTTTCTCATGTGCTTTATTTCCTGAGAGCTGGATACGTATAATCATTTTTTTTCCTCATTAAGTTTATTGGTGCATTTTAGGTATACAGTACAGTTACATTCATCATTAGGCTCTTGTACGTTTACGTGACAGGTCTTGGTTCTCATTTTTTCCTCATACCCCCGCCCTCCCTTCACCCCCTCCTCCCTTCCTTATTTACTAAAACTTTATTTCCATTTTCTCATATTTTTTGGATACATATAAATTCAGTATAAATACTGTCCCAGCAAAGCACATTTCCTCCATCCTCCCAGGAGAAAGTCCCTGTGGAGCATGGTCCACATCAGTCCCATCCCAAGGAAGTTTAGAGTGTTCTGGAAAGGAGCTGCCTGAAGAGCCAGCCTGGCCAAGCTTTGTCACCAGTGTTTCCATTGCAGACACTCCAGTTTCAAAGGCAGAGGGGGAAGAACTGGAGTGAACTGCCAGTCAAACTCCTTCCAACCATGTCCTGTCAGTACGACTGAGCAAAGGGGTAACGGGGAATGGGTTCCATCTCTCTCAGAGCACAGGATGAAGGGAGGAAGCCACAGAAAGGAGAACACTCTCTCTGTCTCTCTGTCTCTCTGTCTGTCTCTCTCTCTCTCACACATACACACACACACACACACACACACACACACACACAAAGGCACATTTGGGATTATATGTTCCCACCTCTTTCCTTAACTCCTGAGATCCTTTGACCAGAACCCCAACAGCTCCTTGAACAGAAACAGACCAGATGGGAGGAAAGATGTCCCATGGGAAGCTGGTTCAAGCCTTGATTGAAGAGTGAATTACAACCATGGAGCCAGGATAGGGACTCAAGAGGTGTGTCCATCAGAAAATAAGCAGATTCACACTCAGTGACGCTCTCACCACATCCAAACAATGGCATCATGCAGAGGTGTGTCCATCAGAAAATAAGCAGATTCACACTCAGTGACACTCTCACCACATCCAAACAATGGCATCATGCCCATCAACAGGCATGTTAGAATCAGCTCTATCCTGTCCTGCGCAAGTGACGCTCTCACCACATCCAAACAATGGCATCATGCCCATCAACAGGCATGTTAGAATCAGCTCTATCCTGTCCTGCACCCCATGAAGCGGCCTCCTGGAGGATAAGACCAGTGCACTCATTAAAGCAGCCCGTGTGAATGACGAATCCTTTTGGCCTGGCTTGTTCACAAAGACCCTGGCCAGTGCCAGTGGGAGCTACATCCACCTTATCGGGGCTGGTGAACACTAGGAGAGTGCCCCATTGCCACAGCGCCCCAGAGGGCAGCAGAGGCAAAGGAAGAGGAATCCAAGAGTCTGATGATGACGTTGGCTTTGTACCTTCAGACTAAACTTCTTTTGTAACATGTTCTATAGGAAGAGGAAATCTGTGGCTAATAAAAGAAAAAGAAGAAAAGAAAGAGAAGAAAAAGAGAGGAAAAAGGAATCTCATCATTCACAGCAACATGGATGAGCTGAGGACACCGTGTTAAGTGACATAAACCAGACACAGAGAGGCAAGTACTGCATATCCTTGCTCATATGGAGAAGCTGAAATAGATGATCCAAAAAAAAAAAAATGGAGACTAGAATAGTGATTTCCAGAGGCCAGAAAGGGGAGGAGAGGGAGACAGAGAGAGGTTGGGTAACAGGATTCAAATCCAATTGAACAGGAGAAAGAAGCCCCACTGCTCTGTGGCAACAACTTTGTAATGAAGCAGAAGAGAGGCATCTGTGGGCTCCAAAGAAATGATACCTGTTCAAGGAGATAGAAATAGGTTTGGAGGGAGAAGGCAATGAAATGTGTATGAAGCCCAGGGCAATTAAAATGTGGAAAGGCTGCAGTACAAAAAGCTATAAATCAAGATCTGTGAATTTGAGTTGTAGAAAATTGATGCTGAGGTCAGAGGTGTAATGGGCTGGGATGATGAGTAAAGGCAGGGACAGCAGGGTCCTTCCTGGGAGCTGGAAAGTAAGGACACTGGCCAGATGGGTGGGCGCAGGGAGCCTGGGCAGAGAGCAGGCTGGGGTCTCTGCGCCTGTCCACCCATTCATGGAGATCCGAGAGCAAATCAGATGTGACTGCGGGTCTCAGGGAGAAGCTGAAGCTCAGGAAGATAACGCAGTTGAGATCCCGAATAACATGCGATGCAGCTGAACAGAGGAAAAAAAAAAGTCATAGGGAAGAAGCACAGGATAATCTTCAAAGTGAAGTTAGTGAAAGAGTTACCAGGGAAGTCAGAT